ATAGCTAGAGCAGTTCGCGACCTTAGCCCATCCTGAGAGGCCTGCCACAAACCCCATTCTAACTGACTTGGGTGGAGCTACAAAGCCCACCCTGAGGGGACCACAAGATGATATATATCAAAATCTCCCCACATTTGCCCAGCCAGTTTGGCTCAGTGGATAGAGCGTCGGCCTGCGGACTGAAGCGTCGCAGGTTCCATCCCGGTCAAAGGCACATGCCCAGGTTACAGGCTTGGTCCCCAGGAGGGGGCATGCAAGAGGAAGCTGATCAAATGATTCTCTCTCATCATGAATGTTTCTATCTCTCTCTCCCTCTCCCTTCCTCTCTGAAATCAATAGAAGTATTTAAAAACAAAAAACAAAAAAAAACAAAACACCTCCCACATTGGCAGTTCAGGCTTTGGATCAAAGTCCCCTGGACTAGCAGTGCTGTGTAAGAAAGGTTTTACTTTCCTAATTCCTCTGAGTGCCGGCTGTCATTCTCCTAGGTCAGTGGCCGGCAAACCGCGGCCCGTGAGCCACATGCGGCTCTTTGGCCCCTTGAGTGTGGCTCTTCCACAAAACACCGGCTCTTCCACAAAATACTGACTTCTGCGCATGGGCCATGAAGTTTCAATCGCACTGTATGTGCGCGCCTGCACGTGGTATTTTGTGGAAGAGCCACACTCAAGGGGCCAAGGAGCCGCATGTGGCTCACAAGCAGCGGTTTGTCAACCACGGTCCTAGGTCATTCGCCACAACACTAAGGCCACTCAACCGCTTGCTAGGACGTGCCCTGACCACCAGGGGCAGTCAACCTGTCACCAGTCGCTATGATGTGCACTGACCACCAGGGGGCAGACGCTTCGACCAGTAGGTTAGCTTGCTGCTGGGGTCCAGCCAGGCAATCAGGACTGAGGGAGACAGGCTGGACACGCCCTAGAGCCCTCCTGTGGTCCCTCTAGCCCAGACTGTGCATTGGTGGGGTTCCTTGGCCTGGCCTATGCCCTCTCACAACCTGTGACCCCTCAGGGGATGTTAGAGAGCCGGTTTCAGCCCAATTCCGTAGGCCAGGACAAGGGACTCTACTGGTGCACAAATTCCAGCCAACAAAAGTCCTGGTCCGGATTGCTTCACAGGGGAGTTTTACCAAACCTTCAAAGGGAACTAAAACCTATCCTCCTCAAACTATTCCAAAAAAAATCCATGAAGAAGGAAAACTTCTAAGCTCTTTTTATGAGGCCAGCATTATCCTAATTCCAAAACCAGATAAAGAGACTATAAAGAGATTTACAGGCCAATATCCCTAATGAACCTAGATGCTAAAATCCTCAACAAAATATTAGCAAAACAGATCCAGCAATATATTAAAAAGATCATAAACCATGATCAAAAGGGATTTCTTCCAGGTTTGCAAGGCTGGTACAATATTCGCAAATCAATAAATGTGATACATCACATAAACAAATTGAAAGACAAAAATCACATGATCAGCCCTAGCTGGTTTGGCTCAGTGGATAGAGCATCGAAGTCACTTTTAATCTCTTCTCTTATGTCAACAATATCACCTGCAGCATCACTCATTTTCAATATATTTTTAAAAAATAAAATAAAATAAATCACACGATCATATCAATAGATGCAGGAAAAGCTTTTGACAAAATCAAACACCCTTTTAAAATAAAATCTCTCAGTAAAGCAGAAATAGAGGGAGCATATCTCAACATGATAAAGGCCATATATGACAAACCTACAGCAAACATCATCCTCAATGGGCAAAAACTAAAACCATTTCCCCTAAAAACAGGGATGTCTGTTTTCACAACTCCTTTACAAGATAGTACTGGAAATTCTAGCCAAAGTGATCAGACAAGAAGAAATAAAAGGCATCCATATTGGAAAGGAAAAGTAAAACTATTATTATTTACAGATTACAGGATATTGTACGTAGAAAACCCTAAAGACTCCACCAAAAAAACTACTAGATTTAATAAATGAATTCAGCAATGTAGCAGATAACAAAATCAACACTCAAATATCAGTGGGTGAGCTTCAACCTATGAACAAGGAGTTTATGCTTTGATTCCTGGTCAGTGCACATGCCAAGATTGCGGGCTCAATTCCCAGAGCAGGAGGCAGCTGATCAATGATTCTCTCTCATTACTGGTGTCTGTTTCTCTCTCCCTTCCTCACTGACATCAATAAAAATATATTTGAAAAAGAAAAACCCCACGTGTCATGAAAAAGCCACAAAAAGGATTTGCTAAGTTTTAAATAACTATCATTATATCTTAATTTTTTCAGAACAAGACTTTCAAAAGTATAGATCTCTGAATTAAAGCAAGAAACCTTTAAAATTAAGCAATGAAATGATGATTTAAAAATGAAAATCAGAGACAGTCTCAAAATAAACACATTAAGCAAAAATTGAAATTTCAAGTTACATAATTATAACTCAAATAAAAGTCAATTACTACATTATATTACATTATATTCCCCTTCAGTTCAATACATCTTTTTGTTGTGGTTAATCTTCACCCAAGGATATTTTCCATTGATTTTTAGAGAGAGTAAAAGGGAGGGCGAGGGAGGGAGAGAGAGAGAAACATCAATGTGAGAGGGACTCATCATTTGGTTGCCTACAGGCCAGGGATGGAGTCTGCAATCTAGGTACATGTCCTTAACCAGAATCAAACCCAAAACCTTTCAGTCTGTGGGCTGACGCTCTATCCACTAAGCCAAGCTGGCTAGGGCCAACACACCTTTTTATTCTATGATTTTTACATTAAAATAGACACTAGTAAACAAGGTCAATGGTAATGGTTATGGAGGTTTTCAATTAAACCACTTTAGATGTAAACTACGATAGGTATAACAGATTAAATTTCTGAAAATTCACAGACCGACTGCAGTTTTATTAAGTAAAATATGCTATCATAACCTGAAAGTCGAGAGAAAGAAAATATTTCACATACAGAACATAAATGAAATGGGTTGTAAAAATAACAGCCAACAGTTTTTTCACTTGGGGTAGATCACTCATGGCTTACCAGGACTATGATGAGTCGCAAATCCTCCTTTCTGAAATTCATTTCCTGCCACATTCATCCTACCAGGATTAAAAGGTCCTACTGCAGTCTTGGTCTGTGAAGTTAAAGATGGGGTGTATGTTGTATATTAACACCAAAATTACTTGGCTGAAGTCCTTTAGCGACATCTCCCAAGTTGGTATTCTATAGTGATGCTACAAGTATAATAATTAAGTTCATATCTTGCCCATCATTCAGAGAGCTTATACCTGTTTCTAAGGCTGTTAACACTAGCAATCTGAATTTCAGAGTCAATTCTGTAGTGATAACACTATTACCCATTCCTACATTTACCTTTCTTCTTGAAAGACTGGAAGTGGAGAAGTCCACATCTTTGGTTCTGTTTTTAGTTCCTGGAAGTCCCCATTCAATAAAACTGAAAGAATTTTTTTCCCCTCCATTTGTTTCTATGTACTCTTCATCATCAATAATAATAGTCTCACTTATATATCCCCTTTGAGAAGCCAAATCTCTTGAGGAAGGAATTAGGGAATCATTTCCTTGTAGTTTTTCATTTCTTGATGAAGCAAATATAAAATTTTTTTGATCAACTATTGCTGAAGAAGTTGAAGGAGGATGTATAGATTCAATAAACACAACATCATCATCATCGTCTTGCACCGATGAGTTTCTCGATCTATTAACTAAAGTACTAGTTGGATGACCAAATGAATTTCCTACGTCCGTGAGACTAGTTGCCATGGCTTTACTCCCTAATAACACAGAAGTGTGTTCAGTCAAGTCCAATTCTCCCACTGAACATGTGTCTATGACAAAAAACAACAACAACCTGTAAGAGACAGAAAAAGAAAAAAAAAGTTATATTATTATTGCAAGAACTAGCACAGATGAAATTTTTAATTCTATTCTTTATGTGATTTTAATCTAACATTTAGGGAAAAAATTGGTCACCATTCTGTTTATCCTCTTCCATTAATGCTTACTTCTTCACAGTTCAATAAAATTTATACAATTTTTGGTAGTCCCTAAAAAATGTTGTTTTTAATTAAATTTACTGGGGTGACATTGGTAAACATGATCATACAGGTTTCAGGTGTGGGGTTTTATGCTACAAGATCTGTATATTGTACTATGTGACCACCAACCAAAGTCAAATCTTAAAAGAACATCTACTCAACTAAGAGTAATTCTTCTTTAGCATCAATAGGTTCTGTTACCTTAAGCAAAACATTTAAGGAAACCAATTTTACCATAGGCTAATTGATATAACCATAGGATATAAACAACAGCTGGTTCCTACAGCATCTCATCAATCTTATAATGAAACATTTTTTAAATGTTTTATTAAGCTATTACAAATGTGTCTTTATCCCCCCATTATCCCCTCATACCCCCAGTCTTGCGCTCACCTCACCCCCCGTTGACCTCATAATGAAACATTTTTGAGGACCTACTATACTCAATTACCTACTCACCCTTTATAGGGAAAAAAATACCTGTCTTCCTTTGAAATAAAAAACAGTAACACCTGTCCAGCGTGACTCAATGATTGAGCGTTGCTCTATGAACCATGAGGTCAAAGTTCAATTGCTGTTCAGGGCACATGACCCCGTTACAGGCTTGATCCCCAGTGTAGGGCATGCAGGAGGCAGCTGATCAATGATTCTCTCTCATCATTGATGTTTCTCTCTCTCCCTCTCCGTTCCTCTCTGAAATCAATAAAAATATATATTTTTAAAAAAGAACAGAAAACAGCAGTAAAATAATTTATCAAGTACTAATAATCCACACTCCAAATATAATCAATCTACTATGTATACTATCTGCTAAAATGACTGTCATTGTCCAATCCCTATTTCCCTAGTCTTTTGTCATTTTTTCAAATTCTCTACTTCCAATATAACTATATGATTGAATCTTTCTGAATCACTTTTGCCCTTTTGTGCAGTAATCTTCAAACATCATGCTGTGTTTTCTATGTATAATTCTATAAACCCCATGATACAGTGGGGCCTTGACTTACGAGTGTCCCGACTAACGAGTTTTTTGAGATACCAGCTGTCTCTCAGCCGATTTTTTACATTGAGTTGATAGAGTAATTTGAGTTAAGTCTCGAATGAATTAAACTCGTAAGTCAAGGCCCCACTGTATAGACATAATTTAATCAATTTTACAGATCAGGAAAGATAAGCTAATTAAATTGTTTTTGATAAGCTTGAATAGGACTTTAATTCCAGACTCCAAGTTCTTAACCACTCTGTTATATTCAACAAACACTTCTTTGTACCTACTACGCACTTGGGTATGACAAAGCACAGAATCTGGCCTTAGCTGGTTTTGCTCAGTGGACCAGAGGACCAAAAAGTCCCAGGTTCGATCCCGGGTCCTGTCTGGGCACCATGGATGGCAAATAATCAATGTGTGTCTTTTACCTCGATGGTTCTCTCTTTCTTCTCCACTCCCCACCCTTCTACTCACTCCAAAAGTCAATGGAAAAAATACCCTCTTAAAAACAAAAAGAAAATAAAAAATACCCTCAATTCTCAGGTGAGGATTAAAAAAAGAATCTGGAGAAGTGAATAATCAATAAAGCGAGGCTCTTGGAAGTTAGATGTGGATATGTGCACAGGTGGCAGTGACATTGATCTTGAATAGAAATCACCTCTATTTCAAAGGCCAGAGGGAAAAAAGTAGGCATAACTGGAATATATATTAGTGTAGAAATGATAGGTGGAAAACTTAGGTAAGTTTATCCATGCTGGCCTCAATTTTCTTAGCTAGAAACTTTAGAGTGAAGGAGGTGGGAACTGTATGGGTGTTTAAACATCTCATATTGAAATGCTAAGTAACATTTCTATTCTAAAATTCTCCCAAGTAATTTAATTGATAATAGTTATAGTTATGTAATAGGTGCTATGTCAATAATATATTTAGTTAATGCTTACATAAGGTAGGAACTATTCTTTTTTCCCCACTTTACCCATTAGGAAACTTAAGACTCAGAAGATAAGGAATCCACATGGCCTGTCCAAGTCTCCAATGCTGAGAAGGATAGAGTCAGGATTCAAATCCAAGAAATCTGACTCCAGAATCTATCTCACACCATTATGTTATATGCAATTAATATATAAAACATTTTTTTAAAATCATTTCTCTTTTATTACAATGAACTCGTTCATTTAAAAAAAATTAACATTCAAATAAGTCTACTTCAAAGGTGCAGAAATAATGAATCTAAGAGACCAGTATAGAAGGGTTACAAAATAAACACAAAAATTGGGATCATGGTCAACACTTCTGCAGTAAACTTAGCATGTGGTTAATTTTCAAAGGCAAGAGGCAATAATTTAGCCTCAACTGAGTTATGAAATATAAGAACTGTTATATACGAACTCTCAGTCCTTTCTTCATTTGAATAAATGTAAAACAGAAAAGAACAATTTCTGGAAAAGAGCTATAGTCAATTGCATAGTAGATTCTTGTGGCTGCTATGTCCTAGGACCTACCTCAATCTTCTCAATGAAAATACAAAGGACATTCTTTCTTTATGTTCAGCTCACTGCAGTCATCTACCTCTGAAAAAAGTTTAAGCCCTAGCTGGTTTGGCTCAGTGGATAGAGCATCAGCCTGTGGACTGAAGCGTCCCAGGTTCAATTCCAGTCAAGGGGACATGCCCGGGGTTGCCAGCTCGATCCCCAGTAGGGGGCGTGCAGGAGGCAGCCCATCAATGATTCTCTTTCATCATTAATGTTTCTATCTCCCTCTCCCCTCTCTTTTCTTCTCTGAGATCAATAAAAATATATTTTAAAAAAGGAAAAAAGTTTAAGTATTCACCTATTTTCAAAATCCCAGATAATAAAAAAGTTAACCACTACTAAAAGCCATTGTGTATTTAATTTAACCATCTAACAGTTTCTTAGTTCCATAAACATAAGACTACAGAAAAGTTTCTACTATTTCTAAAATATTATTCAAAAACAGAGAAAACATTATGGATTTAATAATTAGTGGTGACAGTGAGTTTTAGTTTTCTAAACTGTAAACTAAATGGGAATAATATACGACTCCAAGGGTTTTTTGTTTGTTTGTTTTTTAATATGTTTTATTGATTTTTTATTTTTATTTTTTTATTTATATATTTTTTTAAAATTTTATTTATCACAAAGGGTATTACATATGTGCCCATTTTTCCCCCCGCCCTAGACAGTCCCCTAGCCTCCCCTATCCCCCAGTGTCTTATGTCCATTGGTTGTTTTATTAATTTTTTACAGAGAGGAAGGGAGAGGGATAGAGCTAGAAACATCAATCAGCTGTCTCCTGCACTGCCCCCCACCCCAACCCCCTACTGGGGACGCACCCGCAACCAAGGCACATGCCCCTGACTGGAATCGAACCTGGGACTGAAGGCCGACGCTCTATCCACTGAGCCAAACCAGTCAGGGCTGACTCCAAGGTTTTTATTGAAATAATTGAACATGCCTGGACCATATGAAAGACTGCAAACAATGTTAAATCACTGTGCATGAGACAGTATTTAGACAAATCTTTGACCTATATCCTAGGATTTCAACAATTGTCTAATTAATCTTAAACACTTTCATAACTTGTGGTATCTCATTCATCTACAAATTAATGTTTAATTGAATTTAGTTTTGTATGATACAATGAAAATTAATGTAAAATCAAATAATGTAAAATCAAAGAAAAATCTACACAGAGAAGGTTGATACAAAATTTTACTACCACTATACAAAAAGGAAGAAACTGAAGCAGGACTCAAATACAAATCTCTAGTAAAGGATAAACCCCTTGCAAAGTTAACAGGATGTCTACTTAGGGGTAAAGATAAAAACTAACCAAGCATATA